TAAGGGATAGCCAACATGGGTTTGTTGCGGGTAGCTCTTGCTTGACCAATCTCATTTCCCTTTATGACCAGGTGACCTATCACCTGGACAAGGGGGAAGAAATTGATGTCATATATCTTGACTTCAAAAAAGCCTTCGATCTGGTATCCCATGATCACCTCTTGGCAAAATTGGCTAACTGTGGGCTTGACCTCACCATGATCTGCTGTTTGGGGAACTGGCTCCATGGTTGGACCCCGAGGGTGGTGGTTGAAGGAAGCCAATCCTCTTGGTGTGTGGTCACCAGTGGGGGCCCTCAAGGCTCTGTCCTAAGGGCCTATACTGTTTAACATTTTCATCAATGATGTGGACATTGGTGTCAGAAGTGGCCAAATTTGCCTATGATACCAAACTCTGGGGTAAAGCATCAACACCTGAGGACAGGAGGGTGATCCAGGTAGATTTTGACAGGCTCATGAAATGGGTGGATGAGAACCTGATGGTGTTTAACACCAAAAAATGCAAGGCTCTCCATCTTGGGAGGAAAAACCTGCACCATGCTTATAGGCTCGGCAGTACTATGCTGGTTAGTGCTACAGATGAAGGGGTCTTGGGGGTCATGATTGACCACAAGATGAACATGGGACTTCAATGCGATGCTGGAGCTAGTAAAGTGAGAAAATGCTGGCTTGCATCTATAGATGCTTCTCAAGCAAATCCTGGGACATCATTCTCTTGTTGTACTCAGCCTTGGTGAGGCCGCAGCTGGAGTACTACATCCAGTTTTAGGCTCCACAATTCAAAAAGGATGTGGAGAAGCTTGAGAGAGTGTAGAGAAGAGTCATGCACATGATCAGAGGTCAGGAAAACAGACCTTATGATGAGAAGCTGAGAGCCATGTGTCCCAGCTGCCTGCGGAGGGTTTAAACTGAGAGTGTGGTCAGGGGTAGAAAGGTAAGAAAGATTTATTGACTTAAGAAAAACACAACTATGCGTAGTAACAAATGATGACAGACAAAAGCAATTCACGTTGACAACTTATCGGCAGTCCTTCTGATGCCCGAAACACAGCAAGCTTCTCTTTCCACAAAGTTCAGCGAGTTCAGGCGTCCCCAAACAATGCTGTCTGAGGGGTGCTGGGAAGGACCCTGGAATGCAGTTTTTGGGTTCCTTGAGGTCCATGGGCCCACTGATCCAGGCAACAGCTAACTAATCCTTTTCACAGAGCTGCATCTTCCTTCTGAATGGTTTCCAAATATTTCAGCTAATTTATAGCTTCTGAAGGACACTGATAATGTACGACCACTTAGATTTCTTTTTCTTCAATTGTCCTTAGACTGACCAATAGCAGTACAAGCCTTGCATTCCTTTGATAAGGTAATTTTAACTGTGCCACAGGGCATTACTACTTTTAGGCTTTGCTAAATTTACTAGGCCTTACTTTATAAAAGGCCTCACTACATTTTAAACTATCATTAGGCTTTTAGCAACAACTTATAGCTTAATATCTAAACAAATACAGAAAAATACTTGGTCTAATCTTTATAGAGCCTTCAGCAAGAACTTCTATTTCACAGACATACTTTTCAGCTGCCACACCATGAGACTCTTCACCCTAGAAAAGTGCGGGCTCAGGGGTGATCTGGTGGCCACCTGTAAGTTTATCGGGGTGCTCATCGAGATCTGGGGGAACGTTTGTTCACCAGAGCGCCCCAAGGGATGACAAGATCGAATGGTCACAAACTCTGCCACGACTGATTCAGACTGGACATAAGGAAGAACTTCTTTACTGTCTGAGCCTCCAAGGTCTGTATAGATTGCCACCGGAGCAGTTCAAGCACCCACTTTGAATGTCTCCAAGACACATTTGGATGCTTATCTTGCTGGGATCCTATGATCCCTGCTGACTTCCTGACCATGAGGCAGGGGGCTGGACTCGATGATCCTCCGGGGACCCTTCCAGCCCAAATGTCTATGAAGTGTAAGTTTTGGGTGGAAATTTAATTTAAGACGTCTTCAATGCTGCATGCAGAGGATAGGAACTTCCCCACCCTGTATAGTCTCCCATGCCATAATGCCCTTGTGTGCTTTCATGGGCTGTAAACAGATGTTGGGATGTATCCTGGCACAGCCGATTTGCTTCTAGTGAGTGGAACAGATGCTTGTTATTCAGCAGGGTCAAAACTCTGCTGCTCCCGATAGTGGCAGGGACCTGATCCTGTGGGATGAAAGGTGGGCCATATTTCTGCACACAGGGGAACCCCAGCAGTGCAGTGCGTCCTAGCCGCCTGTGGAGGGTTCGGGATTGAGTGTATGGTTGAGGGTAGAAAGGCAAGAAAGTTTTATTGACTTAACAAAAACATGACTACGCATAGTATACTAAGACAGATAATAACAGACAATAATAATTCATGTCGGCAACTTATCAGCAGTCCCCTCTGATGCCTGAGGTATGACAAGTTTTTCTTTCCACAAAGCTCAGCGAAGTCAGATGTCCTCGATCAGCGCTGTCTGAGGGGTACCGGGAAGGACCCTGGTATTTAGTCTTTGGGCTCCTTGAGATCCATGGGACCACTGATCCAGGTCAAAAGCTAAGTAGTCCCTTTCACAGAGCTGTATCTTCCTTTTGAATGATTTTCAGATGTGCCAGCCAATTTATAACTTCTGAGCTGTGCTGATAACTTACAGCCATTCAGATTCTTTTTACTTCAGCTGTCCTTAGACTGACCAATAGCAATACAAGCCTTGCATTCTTTTGATAAGGTTAATTTTAACTACACCACAGGGCTTTACCACTTCAAGGGTTTGCTAAATTTACTAGGCCTTACTTCATACAAGGCCTTACTACATCTTAAACTTTAATTAGGCTTTTAGCAATAACATATAGCTTAATATCTGAACAAATGACAGAAAAACACTTGGTATAATCTTCATTATGCCTGGGGAAATGGGGTTCCCTGCTTGCAGAGATGTGACCTCAGTCTGAATGCCTGGCTGCACCTATGTGAGTGGGGAAACATGGGCTTTCTCTGTTTGCAGAGATGAGCCCCCTGCTGGACTCTCTGTTTGTGCCTCTGCAAGCAGGTAAACCTCAGGTCTCCTTGTTGGCACAGATGTACTGTGACTTGGGGCTGAGCAGAGCAATATAGACCAGGAGATTCCCCTACTTGGGAATCCCCAAGGCAGAGCTCTGGAAATCGGGGAACCCGGGCAGGCACTCCCAGGGCTTTAAGGGGCCTGATCCTGCAGTACTTGGGAGTGGAAATTCTCAGTGCACTCAGCATGGGGCAGTGAAGCCCTGGGAGTGCCTGCCTGGGCCAGCTGGATAATATGGACAGCTCTGGGCTGCCTGCACTCTCCTGTCATACAGCAAAACAGGTGGTAGAAATTTGTGCCATTATGTCATGGCTACAGGTTTTGGGTATTTGTGGTGTGACAAGGGGCATGCATGTCTGTGTGGGGTCATTTTGCCACCAGAAACAGGTTTTTTAGTCGAGGCAAATGGCCAGTTTCTGCTCTTGGTTACCCCAGATTTATGCCAGTGGAACTAGACTGGAACCTCTCAGTGCTCATAGCAGGGTCGCTGAGAGCCATTGGGTTATAGGGAAAAGTGCGGAGTCTCCAAGTGGTCTAATTTCCTGCTTTATCTCCTTGTGGGAGATGTTGTTGGTTTTTTTTTTTAAAATAGCTGCCTTCCCTTTCACTGCATCTAGTTCTCCCTCGGTTTAATTTTACCCTGGATTCAAAGCACAAACAGCCAGATGAGCAGAGCCAGTGAGCTTGCCTTGAAGCATCTGAGCTGTGCAGTGCTGTCCAAGGCAGCATGGGGACAAAATACCAGCCTGCACCTATTACTTAGTACAGAAGGAAAAAATAGTCAGTTGGGAGCATGTCAATCCTCTCATCTCACTGCTCTGAAACAAGAAGAACTAATTTCTGAATGGCAAGACTTCAGCCATTTCTGTTGAGGTCACTGGGCATCTGAATTGGACCAGTTTTACACCATGGGCTAACACTGGTTGAAGTGAATGCTAAATCAGCCCAGTGTTTGTCACTTGTATCCTAGAGAGAGACTATTTTCCCTAACACCAACTTATTTCCATTCTTTTGCACTGTTTCAAATATGGGCCCAGTGGTTCTCTAAAATGCAACAAGGGAAATTGAATTTGGATCTTGGGAAGAACTTTATCACTTTAAGGGCAGGTAAGTGTTGGAAGAGGCTATCTAGAGGTGATAGGGCCTCTCCATCCTCAGAAGTTTTAAAGAGCAAATTAGACACTTGAATGATCGGGTTTAGATATGGATGCTCCTGTCCTGAGCAGGGGACCTCCTGTGGTCCCTTCCTGCCCTGTGAGTATGTGGTTTTGGTGGTTGTTGCATGCACTTTCTAGAATGACCAAGGGTCCAATGTGTAAGTTATGGGCTGCCATCTCTTGACTGTAAAACAGAAATTCATGCTATCAGCTGTTTGTATGTGAAAGTCTATCTGTAAGCTTACCTGGGACTAACTACAGTGTCTTCAGACATGCCCTTGGTTAATGACTGGATTTAAATGAGGTTTGATAATATGTTTAATTAAAACAATCAGTGTCAACTCACTCTACACCTGCACTTATTTCCCCTCTTATGAGACCCTTGCTGCAGTTATGGCCAATATCATGTCACTTGATTTGACTTTCCTATTGAAATGAAGACAAAGCTGAAGATGAAGGCAGTGGAGGGGGCACACAATGGGCTTTGCCACCACTCAGAAGTCTGCTCAGAACACAACAATCATACTGACCTGAACAGCACAAGCAGGATTTCGTGCCAGTCTGTAGGGTGTGAGACAGGGCTGGTGGCAGAAATAATATCCAGCAGGTCCTGCTTCAATCCTGCTGATTGTGAGCATGGAGGCAGCCCCAGAGCCAGTGCTGTTGAACCACGCTGGTACCGCATGTTGTTGGATGGTGGCACTATAGGTGATGAGTTGGTCTAGGTTTCTGTTGGTTACAGACTGAGATCCCTGACTGAAAATGTAAGGTTTGAGTTGTCTTTGCATTGAATTATGACTCTGTCTCCTGGAGACACCAGCATGGATTCTGGTGTCTGAGGCCAGGTAGTCTTTCCATTTGAGTCTGAATGGGTCAACACGTTAATAGTGCACGGGAGTGTGCATGTGTGTGAGAGAAGTAAAGGCCAGGGAATTTATCTTTTATAAACATCACCAAATGGCTCTTTATGTAGTTCCTATCCTTGAATTATACCCTTCATCCTCTCCCCTTTTTCAGTTAGTCACCTTTAGAGCCTAATGCAAAGCCTTTGAAGGCCAGTGAAAGACTCCTGTTCCTTATGCTGGACTTACTGTCGGGACCTAACTGCTTTTGAAATAACACAAGGATATGCAGAATACTCTGAAGAAAGTGTGAAGTTTTATAGATTAATAGCTAACTATTTTTGAATCTAAAACAATCTTTAAAAACTTTATATAAGAAATATAGGATTAAAATTCCTAAACCCCTAAAATACAGCTTGTCATCACACCAGTGCTATTTTCATAAGTCTTTTACACTTGATACCGAGTACTACCAGTCAGAGGAGCTGAGCCTTTGGGATCATTGTGATGCATGTGAACAACCAGATGCTGATCAACACAGTACTGAGCAGCACACGGTGTTAATAGTAACTCGTTACAGCATCAAAGGGTGCTAGTTGCTTTAATATATGCAAAGTACATGTCTGATCCAAAAAATGAGCTCAGAAAGGACCACAAACCAGTTTTAAGATAACTGCTCAACAGAGCTGCCTCATCTTATGCTGCAGTGCTATTTATCTGAGTTGAAAGTAAATGAGTACATGTCCTGACTCCTGGTTATTGGTTTTATGCCACTTAGTATCCACAGTAGACTTCAGCTGTCTTTCTACAGTCATTTCAACAAGGAAGGATATATGCCTCTTTGTGTAGCACATGTACTGTGAAGGTGACTGTTAAGGAAGCACCTGCCGTGCTGGTCTGAAGAGCACCGGGAGGTTTATGTACTGGTTTGTAGCACTGTGAGAGGGGTACCGTAATTCTGCTGACAGTAATAATCTCCGGCATCTTCAGCTTCTACCCTGCTGATGGCGAGAGTGAAATCCGTTCCAGACCCACTGCCGCTGAATCGGGCTGGGACTCCCGGTTGCTGCGTGGAAGCAAAAGTGATGATGAGTTTAGGAGCTTGTCCAGGTTTCTCGTGGTACCAGCCTATGAACTCCTTTCCTGAGGATGTGAGGCTGGAGCTGCATTTGCACTTGATGGTGACGGTGTCTCCCAGGGATACTGTCAGGGACTCTGGAGTCTGGGTCATCACACGGTCTCCACTTGAACCTGAAGGGAAAAACAGAATATAGTTACACGGATGCATTGTTCTGTACCCTTTTATAAAAAGCCCTCTGGGCTGACATTTTCAGCTTAAGGCAGCCATGTGTTCATTCAGGGACTTCCTGAAAATCCACTGCAGTCAGTGGA